GGGTGCACTCAATCCCCTCATTTAGATCATCAATAAAGATACTAAACAAGACAAGATTTCCTTAAGCACAGTGTGGAGAGTATGTGTCTAAGCTACAGACAGGCTGTGGCCAACCAGAAGCTAACCATGCAGTTTATGTAGTTGTACTGCAGACATAACAAAAGTCAGATAACAGATCTCACTATGAGATGGAGAGATGTTCTTAAAACATGTTGGAGGAGCTAGCAGTTAGCCTTCAGTTCAGACCTGAAGGCATGATCCACTCCCTTTGTCTAAGTGTAGATTTGAGGCAGCTCAACACAGCAAGTGCTGAAAGTCATTCCAGCCCTGTAAGAGAGGGGTAAGTAGGGATAGCAGTAGTGGTGAGAAAGCAGTAGTTACAGGATGTTCAAAGTAATAAACGTGCTCAGATTAAACAGTACTGGAGTCATGTAAAGAATGGATAATTGGGAGAAAATTTAGTACAATCTTAAGTTTCAGCCATCAAAAGAATACAAACCCCATTAATTTGACCGGGTAGACTGGTCTTCAAAACAAATTCAAACTAAACCATCTCCTAAGTAGCTTCATCAGAAAGTGAGAGAGTGATAGTAAGGGAATTTTTGCAGCACACAAAGACAAATGCCCTAATTTTTCTTACCTGTTATCTTATGAACAGCTGCAAAATCAATGATATTTGCCTTTTACCTCTATAAAGGCAATATGAAGAGGCTTCTTTTCCCACCTCACCCAACTAAACCAAGAACTGCAAACAAAAGACTAGCTTTGTTTCAGGTCAGGATGGCAGAAGCAGAAGGATTCTGTTCCATTTTAGGCCCTGGTGAAGTTTTAGAAATTTGCTATTAGAAAACCAATTGAACCTTTTGACACATAGGCAGCTGGCGTTTGAGAACTTCAACCTTGAATTTTTTTTTTTTAATTTTAAAACTTTATGTTCTTTTTTTAGTTACACAAGTACCCCCAAGTTTTATGCTTGGTCTGGTGCTTCCTTAAGTTGTTCAGATGAGGGTATATTTCATACTTGCTGAGTTCATATATACTAATGTTCCTATTTAGGTAGAGCATTCACATCTACTTCCAGCATTATTATCAGAACAATATCTTTTGACCTGCACTGATAAGAGTATGAGACAAGAGGTTCAAATGAGTGACTTTTCTAAAAGAAGACCACTCTGAAGGTACTTTCAGACATCACAAAGGGTAGGCTAGGGAAAAAGTATATGGAAAATATGTTATTTCTCACTCGATTCACTGTATGCACAACCACTTCTTGACCAGATTGTGGCTGTGATACTTTGGGATCTTATAGCTCAGTTTGCTTGCATTCTTCCATGAGAATTTGGTTCTGTGTTGTCACAGCAGGAAGGTAATCGTTGACTGGGTCTTGAATGCTTGTAAGAATCTGGCCTATCCTTCGGCTGATTCTCTGCCCATAAGAGCCGCTGCTGGTTTTGGCTGAGATTGTCTGACCTCTGTAGACTTGAGCCTGATGCTCACATATACCAAACTTGCTTAGCAGGATAAACACATCTCTTCGGAAAGCTTTGGTGAAAATAGCATAAAGAAAGGGGTTGGCACAAGAATTGAGTGGGTAGAAGAGTACCAGCAAAATCTTGGAATTGGTGACAGTTATCAATGGTTTGTTCATAATGGCAGATAAAGCATGGAAAGAGATGGGAGCCATGCACAGAAAGTCAGTGAAAATCAACACAGCCATCCGCTTGGCAATTTTGGTGTCTTTGTCCCCTGACTTGTACTGAGGGTTTCGCACAGTTACATAGATTTTTACATAGCAGGCACAAATGATGACAAAAGCAATAATGTTACATATTAAAACGAAGACAACGTAGGCTTCAGCCATTGGTGTTTCCGTGTCCATAGGCAAGCAGATGCTGACTTTGCTATAGCTGCTGACGCCAACCAGTGGCAAAAGGGCAAGAAGAAAGCATGAGAGCCACCCTCCCAGCATGATAACCAAGGCGTGCCGGAGGCGAATCTTTCGATCTGGGCGCATGGCAAAAGTGATGGCATACCAGCGCTCCAGGGTTATCACAGTCAGTGTGTATACAGAAAGTTCACTAGCAAAGACTGTGAAAAAGCCAGCTGTGTTGCAACCAGGCCCAGTCTGCCACTCTATAGCGTGGTTATAGTACTCTGACCTGGTGTAAAGATCCACTGAAGCGATGAGGAGGAGATATAACCCCATGCAAAAATCAGCAAAGGCCAAGTTACACATCAGAAAGCGTGGTACAGTCAGTTTATAATGGCTGGTGAGAAGGATGAAAAGGACGAAAATGTTACCCAGGATGGCCAGCAGGTTCACAAACCACACCACAATCCTCAGAAATTGATATCCCATTATATCCTCACAGGGATTAAACTCATCAGGCTCTGGAGTACATACTACATCTTCATTGCCTCCGCAGACAGGATAGTCATAATGACTGTCAAAGGTTTGGATGTCTTCCATTTGAGGGTTCTTGAGCTCTTGGCCAAATCCAAGATTGCCTTCTCCGTGCTCTTCCATAAAAATGTAATAATGAGAATTTTCGTGAAAATTCGTGAACTTGATGTTTTTGTCATACACAGTATCAGTGTGGTCTGTGTATTCTTCCGCATAGTCTTTGTAAAATGGACCTCTGAGAGCTTTGACTGACCTCTTACGAAAGCTGTGACTGATGCTTTGGTTACATGTCAGGTACTCCAGGATTCTGAAAGAGTAGAGGGAGAAATCACTGCTGGCATTTACAGTCTGGCTGGAGTAAACAAAGGGAACACTTGAAAAGCAAATCACCATGAATGAAAACATAGCTATAAAAATGTGATTGGATAGATTTCTGTTAACAGAACATATAGCGAACAATAAGCTTGAGCGTTTCTGGGCTTTTTTTTAAACTATATTTTTCCTTTCTCTGTTGCTATCAGCTATCCCCAGTAGCAATTTGGCTTGCTCAGCATACGTAATCCCTATTCTTTCTTGAAATCTACATTCTTAGTACGTTACAAGAGTTTTATCTACTGTTTATAACTGCTTAGATAATACCCACAGTAGTACTTTCCTTTTCATTTTTGCTCACAAATCAATTTCTCCCAGAACTTCCATCATTTTAATTTCTGTTGTGTGTATTCTTGTAGGTGCTTTACAGCTAACTAGCAGTGTAGTGGTTGGGAATCCAGTACCTCATGGTGTGATGCATCTGTTGGTATTCGGAAATTGTTCATGTATTTTACTAGGAAAAAAATTGCAATTTGGCATAAAATTTTTTGATCACTGTGATCCACTGTCACATAACCTTTAGCATTTCTCATTTCCAGGTGTGTAGAATTCAAGATTACTTACAATTTGAGATTGCATACAATTCAGTCTGAGAAATTTTAATCTCTACTAACAGATATGCAAATACTTGTTTCTTTCAGTTATTAGATTGTGCTGCGTTCTTTCTGCACATTTTCCCTGTCCAGGTTTTGAATCTTTTCACTCTTCTGTTTTATTTCTGTCCTCACTTTCCCAGTCTGGTTGTAATTGTGAATCGTATTGCTTTGTGAGTTTATTATTGAAGAATTCATATGCTTATCATAGCATATTTTTAATATACTATGCATACTGCAATACTGAAGACTGGGGCTGTCTTCCTAAATCGGGGGCTGGCCTGGATAAGAATTCTCTAAACCTTATTAAACTTTGGAGAAATTTACAATGGATTTGCCTTCTGTAGTAAAATTCTGCTGCTAATCACAGTAAGTCATCCTCCCTCCCTCCCCCCAGTAGATGACTCACTGTGTTGCATCAGGACATCTGTAAATGTATTTTTTTCTTTCTAAAAGCTATCCACACCTGTTCTGATGTTTGGCTGGAAATCCTGCCAAAATGGGATTTGAGATAATCTGTCTACAAGGTTATTACAGAATCATTTATTCTGAGCTTTTCAGTTAGAAAACATATGAGACATGAGGCTATAGCCCCTCCAAAACTTCTTTTTCCAGGCCTTGCTACAGCTCATTCTACATATAACATGTTACAGCACATTATCCTTTTCTTTTTCTTCCCTTTAATTCTGGGCTCAGCAAAAGGAGGAGCTGTTGCAAAAGGTCCTACAAATTGTTATATCAAAAATTCTGTCTTCTGTCAGTTTGAAATTATAATCTCTGTTTCAAAGAATGTCCTCTATACCTAGAAAAAAATGGTCACAAAAGTGCTAATAGATGTAATTTTATATTGCTATTAAAACATTGTTTTCACTTACATACTTTAAAATTGAATGTAAGTTAGTGAAACTCACCCACTGTTTTTTTTCCAGCTCTTGAAAGCACAGCAGTGACTTGGATATGATAGGTCAGCTCGCATTAGCTGAAGAAATATCTTTACAGCTGGTAATTTCTTTAAAGTCCACGTATTTTTGGCCATTAGCTCTTTAAGGCTTTCCAGTCCTTTGGCTGGAAGGTTAGCAATGGCTGTTCTGGAGATATCCCTAGGTAAAGGAAGAAAAAGACAAATGTCAGCATGTCCAGCGACTGGATCAGAATTTTTTCAGATTCTCACAGTAATTTAGGAGTTTCATAGCATTCTACAGCAAAAATCAAATCCAGAGGAGGTGGGGATTTCATATCACTTTGCTACGTTCTGATACCATTCAAATTCAAGTAGGATATGAATTCCTCCTGTGATTTCCTCTGTGTTTTAAAGCTCTTGTCTTTAATGTCTCATAGTGCAGAATATGGATGATAAAGAAATATCAGGAGTTTTAAAATTACAGCTCATTCAGATACAAATGCATATGCAAAAACAAAGTTTCAAAAAAAGCTTTAAAGAAATCCCATCTTCCATTGGAAGAGCTCTTTTCCTTTAGACCTTTAGACTCATTTTAACCTACTGGGATACTTCAATAGAAAACATTGTAATTACTAAAACAATGTTCTTCATAAACTGAAATTAATATCTTCTATCTCAGTCCATCCTGAAACTCTCAGAAAATTTACTATTATGTTTGCTGCTTTCTATTTCTCTGGTACTGAGTCCAACTCAGTAGATACATTGCACAGTTCGTGGAGGAGGTGGATTTCCTTTAGAACTACCAGGTGAATGTCATCTGGTCCTGCCAGTGTTTTCCACTCATTTTTTGCTTTGTCCCAAAACCTCTTCTACTGACGCTTGAAGTCAAGATGTTTTCTCAGAGTTATACTCTGCAAAGAAGTAAACCTGTAAAAAAGGTTCTAGTGCAGGAACATAGTTTGAGCACTTTCATCTTGAACACCCTAATAATAAATAATTCAGCTTTTTTCTCTGCATTGCTTCTTAAGAGTGCTGTTCTTATGCCTCTAGAAGTCTCACCCACTGGCCGGTTTCTTGTACCTAAATGAAAACTATTACTGATTTTATGCTTTAAACAAATTGCTTCTAAAACACTTGGTTTTGCTCTGCTTTACTTTTTTTCTTTTGATTTGCTTGTATTTGATTTTAAATTGAGTTAGAAATTGCTTCCTCTTTCTGTAGGAGGGCTTTTTTACTTCTAACAGCTTCTTTGCTCTCATACATATTTGAATATGTTGCAAATAGTTGATTTCAACCACATAAACTTTTTTGTTCCTGTGGAGTCCTTTTTGATAGCTAGTATATGTTTCTACTGAGCCCCTGAATTGACTCTTAGAAGAGTCTGAATGCTGCCTGCTATGATTTTATCTTTTAAAGAACCACAGAATACTTGAGCTTCCAAATCACCCAGTTTGACCTCTCTGCTCAAAGCAGGGTCACCTACAGCAGGTTGCTCAGAGCTGTGTCCTTTTGACTTCTCAGTATCTCCAGGATTGGAGACTCCACAGCCTCTCTAGACATAATGTGTTGCAGCATTTGGCCACCCTTGCAGTAAGGAAGTCTTTTCTTATGTTGAAATGGACTTTCCCGTATTTCAGTTTGTGCCTGTTGCCTCTTGTGTCACTGGACACCACTGAGGAGGCCCTGGCTCCGTCTTCACAGTTCCCCCCCTGCCCCTTTCAAGTATTTATACACATTGATAAGATTCCCTTGACTCTTCCCTTCTCCACACTAAACATTTCCAGCTCTCTCAGCCTATCCTTGTATGACAGATGCTCCAGTCCATTAATCAACTTAGTGGCCTGCTCCTTTTTGTCTTTCACTAATTTCCTCATTTTATAGAGCTATCCTCCCAAACCAAAACTTCTTGGTAGACTAGATCTTGGACTAGACCTTACCAAGACAAGGCTGGCCTTTCAGCAACCCCCATGGGTCTCCATCAAGTCCTCATGGTGGTGGCAGCTACCTGCAGGAAGGGAACATGGTTAAATGCTGTTTGATGGGATGTGCTAAGGCTTTTTGGAAGGGAAGTGACACCTCACAAATTCTTGCGAGTTCTTTGAAAATGTTCTGGCACAAGCATATGGAGAAAGATGATCCTGTTTGTACTATGAATTGAGTTTTCCGAAAAGCCTTGACAAAACCAGATATCAAGGGTTGTTGAGATAACTAAGCTGTTATGTGACTAGGGGAATGGCTCTTTTTCCTGGTTTTGGCTGGGATAGAGTTGATTTTCTTCCTAGCAGCGGGCATAGTGCTGTGTTTTGGATTTAGTATGAGAAGAATGTTGATAACACACTGACGTTTTAGTTGTTGCTAAGTACTGCTTATGCTAGTCAAGGGCTTTTCAGCTTCCCATGCTCTGCCAGGTGCACAAGAAACTGGGAGAGGGCACAGCCAGGACAGCTGACCCAAACTGCCCAAAGGGCTATTCCATACCATATGACGTCATGCTCAGTATATAAACTGGGGGGAGTTGGCCGGGGGGCAGCGATCACTATTTGGGGGCTGGCTGGGTATCGGTCAGCGGGTGGTAAGCAGTTCCATCACTTGTTTTTCCTGGATTTTGTTTCTGTCTCTCTCTCGTTGTTTTCCTTTTCATTACTACTATTATTATTGTTATGGTTGTTATTACTATATTTGAATTATTAAACTGTTCTTATCTCAGCCCATGGGTTTTCTTACTTTTGCTCTTCCAGTTCTCTCCTCCATCCCACCGAGGGTGGAGGGTGAGTGAGTGGCTGTGTGGTACGTGGTTGCTCACTGGGGCTAAACCACAACACTCTCCTAGATTAATGAAAAAAATAAAAGAGTGAGGGAAAAGCCTGGGAACAGATGATACGTTTTCATGCTAGAGGAAGAATGGAAAATGAACTGGTATCTGAATATAGACATCATTGCAGCAGAGGCCCACAGAGCCTAGGCTACTGCTGGTGCTACTGTGAAATATGAATAAACAGTCTGGAAAGAGAATGAGAGTAGCTGCAACAAAGCTTGTTTCCAACACAGAATAATACAAGGTAGTGAAAGCTAAAGCTGATTGTCTAAAGCAGCAGAAGGATCCTGCAAGATTAAGTGAGCAGTAAAATAATTGACATGATTCAATATCGATCAATGTAAAGTGCATTTAGGAAAAAACAATGTTAACTGTACGTGGATGACAGTGGGGTTTAATTTACCTAGCACTCTGGAAAGATCTTGGAGTCCTCTCTGCAAATGTCAGCTCAGTGCTATTCAGTAATGTTGAAGGGAAATAGAATGCTAAGTATTTTTAGGAAAGAAATAGAAAATAGAACAGAAAGACTTCACTTTGTAAATCTCGTATGACTGCATCTTAAATACTATATGCAGTGCTATAAATACTATATGCAGTTTACAATAAGAGCGCAGAAAGCTACAGCAAGGATGGTTAAAAGTATCAAATCGTTTACATATGAAGTAATAAGGAGGAGATAAGGACTTTTCTCTTGGGAAAAGCTTGGAAGCAATAGGAGATGCCATTCATACCGTAAAGAAGGTGATTGGGAATGATTATTCATTCTTGTGAGATGAGCTTTGGGGCATCTAAGAATGTGAGGCAAGACACTTAAAAAAGAGAAAAGGTACAATCTTTTCACAAAATTGCATCATTAAATTGTGAAAGTCAGTGTCATGGTTCATTGTGCAGGTCAAATAACAAGGTAACAAGAAGGGCAATATCCCTTTTTGTTTTGGTTTTATTTGCAGTTGTGTCACATTCCCATCAGAAATGACTGGGTCAGGAGGAACATCCTGGGGGACAAGGGCTTGTGCCTTGGAAACCATCTCCCATGGAGCAGAGGGTAACGTGCAAAGTCTGTGGCAACTCAAAGAGTGTTATCAAGTGATGTTAAAAAGTCTGAAAGAAAGATCTGTTCAGTGAGAAGAAACAGCTTGGAAGAATTAGTTATAAGACCACATAATTTCTGTTCTATCCTACTGAATCCTTTGAAGTCTCTTATGTATGCGTATATGGGTGTTTATTTAAGCAGTTAGGTATTGCAGTTTTTATTTTCAAAAACTCTGCTTCTTTTAAACTGGGGAGCTTGGTGGGAAGATACAGGCACAGCTGCCTTGAAATTCTAGTTGGCTCAGGATTAATCTTGTTGCAGGGCTAACAGCAGATGGTTGGTCCCATCCACAGGCCATATTAAGCACAATGGCTCACAAGTTTGGAAGTTTCCAAAATCCCCAGTTTGGTAAAGTGATGGTATGGTGTCTGCCACTGAGAGGTCTCGTGACCTTTCCGTACCGCTGCTATTGCAAATGGAAAAGCCTGCTGGGAGTCTGGGGATAATTTGTCTCCCAATAGAAGATAACTTCTTAGTTACCCTACCTAGGCCTACACTTTGTTGGCAGCAAAGTGTGTGTTAACTTTGGCCAGACAGAAGTGCAGGATTGACGGGGACTTTTTACCTTACAAATCCAGTCTTGACAATTACCTATTCAGATTCACAATCTACTTCAAGCAGCATAAGCAGCTGTCTTCAAACTAGAAAGCATAGAATTGAAAAGGTTTTAAATAATAATAAGTAATCTTCAGAGTGATGTGAATCCAAGCAGTTGGAGTTTGCCAGACTATAGTATCTGTGTCTGCATTCATACAGAAGACACATTTTCCTAAATGATTTCTTTGTTCTGTATCATTGTATGATCAGTCTTGATTTTGGGCTGCTCAGAAAAATGGGAACTGACTGCACTTATGTCATCCTCATTAATATCTAATAATATTGGTAACTAAGATGCTACTTAAACACAGCAATATTTACATTGCACAGAAAATGTCTTGCTACTGCAGCTAACCTATAGCTGGCTCACTTAAAGAAACACAAGAGAAGGGGCAAGAGGTCTGATAGACTTGTAAAGAAGATCTGTCTCAAATTGAAGTGACTATAAAAAAGCTTGCGCGAAGACTTGCTTGTGCCCAGTGGCAGGAACAGAACAGAACCTCTTAAGGTAGGACCCTTTCCTAGATTGGAAAGTGATGCTTTAAAGAGCACTTCTGCTTTCTAAATGTATTTAATTACTCACATGTATCTTGTGCAACAGTTAGTAATGTTTTGAATTTGGATTGTATGTTTTGCAAAAGCTAAATGAACAATAAGCCTGATTATATTTTTATTGTACTCTGACGAACTTGTG